CCCAGCAGTTTTACACCCTGTTCTTCTCTCTGGCATTTACATACACTCACTTACAAAAAGCAGTAGAGTTTAGTCTCAGGACATTATATTCAGAGCTTTCAGCTCAGTAGCAAGAACTGTAACTCTCACAATATAGAGACCAGTAAACCTGTAAGGAATCTATACCACATTATTAACTGCTACATAAACCTTACATTGCTCTCAAGTTAACTGAAAGCATCCTAAAAACTGGTGTCCTTTATGAAGTTTGCTCTGTTGTTTACTAACTGTGCTACAGTCAGCTGGATTATTGTGCCTTTCCCAGCCCTCTCCCAGGGAAAAACTCTGCTGTGTTTCCCAGAGAGGAGGGGTGAAGCAGCCTCAGTCATCACACCCTCGCAGTCATTAGGGCTAAGGCTGTCAGCACAGCAAAACACTGCTGCTCTCCCCCAGCCCAAAAAAGCTCTCCCAGGAGCAGTTTTCAGCCTCAGACTCACCATCTGCCAACAAACATTGCTGTACCTGTGCACAGCTAGATGTGCTAACGCTGCTCTAAAGTAAATAAAAATAAAATCCCATTTGTTTTCTAACTGATAAGGTAACTCATTTTCAGAATCGCTTCCATAAAATCCAACCTGTGTAGGGGCCAAAGATGGAACACACTCAGCTGAAACCATCTTCAGTGTGATTGCCAGGCTGAGGAGTCATTGCCCTTGGCTAAAGCCCACCCGGCTGTTACAACCAGCTCCACAGTTCTGCCACAGACGGTCAATTAAAGCACCAGACCTGAGTGGGAAAGGGTTTTCCAATCATATTGTATTTAAGACTTCGAAGATTTGCCATATTCCAAAAACAGTCAAAAACTTCTGTGACCTGAAATGTCAAAAAGTCCTCTCGCAGCCTGGGACTGGTTCGTTCAAACTGGGGTCCTGAAAAATCACTGAACATTTTGATTTTGACCTTGGAAGTATTCTTTTTCTTACTTCAAAAGTAGAGACATTATTATTTCCATTATTTCAAAACAATTCTTTTTAATTTAAATAGCTGCCGTTTGTCCCACACACTGTCTTAACATCTGAATAATAAAGAAATTTCAGAAATGTCAATAATCTAAATAGCTCACAAGCTTTATTTTTAGTTTGCAGAGATTAAACATTCTTCACATTAATGAATCTTCTGTTTTACTTCACTTCATACATTTTCCTCCCTTAGTGAATAGCAGACCTCTCAGAAATCAACACAGCTTGTTAGAAAAAAGACAAAATGCCTATTAAATTATCAAGTGCATTTCTCATCAGAGTGCAGCCATCGTTCTCTACAAAGAAGCACTATAGCTTAATTGACTTCCTAGAAAAAGCAATGTTTAGGCAGATGGTACTGAGAATCATCTGAGTGTTATTCTTTAAATTGGTGTAGTTAAGTGATAGGGACGTTTGGAAAACACAGGAAGGCAAGAGTGGGTGCATCACAGAGGCTTTGTGCCCAGCGTGATGGGGCTCAGTGCCCACAGTGAGACATGGAGCTGGGCAAAGAGTAGGGACTGCTGGATCAGATATGGGGACAGAGAGGTCTTTGTGTAAATATGGTAAGTGAAATTTATCAGAAAAGGAAAAAAAAATCCTGAAAGAAATTACGCTTCCATCCAGCTATCAAATAAAAATCTATGAAAATGGATTGCTAAGGGTCTGAGGTGGTATGGAGCTGGCAGGCTGTAACTGAGCCAGCTGAGCATCCCCGAGCACCTGCATGTCCAGTTCAGAGCAGGGCACTCAGAAGTTTGGATGCTGGTGCAGGGACCCAAAGCAATCCCTTGAGAAGCCTGCATGTCCCTCTGCCAACATGCAGAAATATCTTGAAGCACCTCCTGACAAAGAACAACTTCTTTACTGCTTGTTCTTCTGAAAACTGGAGGTGCTGCAGAGGTAAATTAAGATTTAAGGCAGGAGAGTTAAAATAGAAATCCTATTACTGAACTTTCCAAGGCTCATTCCTAAAGTGAATATCAATACTCTGCTCATTAACAGACTTCTGTGGAAACAAAGCCCGTTTGCTTAAATTCTTTTTAATTTCACTCTCGTTATTTCGGTTGTGCATTAAAATTATATAAAAAATAGAAATAAAAATAAATCCTGAACAACTCTAGGCTTGTGACTTTTGGAGAAGTGCTGATATTGGTGATCATCTCCAAAACTTTTTTCCTGTGATTAAGAAAATGAAAAATGTTCCTTCAAGCTACAATTCTATTAAGAAGCTTTTCAGAGTAGGAAGGATCCCTACCTTTAAATTATTTAGGCTTACTCTTGCTGGGAAATTGAGCGGTAGAATCAATGATAGGCAGAGAAGAACAAGAATATTTTAGGATCAAGGGCCATCCTGCCCTTTTTCTGCCGCATTTCACTGCTGAAGCTGCCAGAAGAGCCTGTCAAGCAACTAAGCACGTTGCTTAGGACTGTCTCCCTGCAAAGCAGAGAGGAAATCCTGTAAATGGGATTTTAAGAGCAGTTGGAGTCAGACTGCAGCTGCTGAAACATTTCTCTGGCAACATGACAGCCTCAGTGAGCGTCAGGAGATGCACCCAGCCAGCACAGGAGCTTAAGCTGGGAGCTGGTAATGCAGGCAGGGTTACTGAGACAAGACAACCGGTGGCTTGTCTGGTTGCCAAACCACCCATGGCTTTTATGATGTGCCAAAACAAAGCTTTTAGAGTGGCCCAGGGAGCAAGGTGGGAAGGACCCTGGAAATTACTCCAAAAATCTTCCTCCCCAGTGCACTCCACAGCAGCTTTGGCCACTCTAATACAAGTCTGCCCAGATAAAAGCCACACATGGCTTTGCAGTACAAAAGTTCAGCTACCTGGGTTTGCAAGATAAGGGCCCAGGCACAGATTCTTCTTCAGACTGGATATGCCCTATGTGTTAATATGTGGGTAAACCCAGAGCATTGCAGCCAGGTCTTGTGGGCGGATGCTGAACACTGCTGGATGCAGGTTGAGGAACAGTGGGAGTAATGCAAGGCTTCCCGTGCTGGAGCAGCAGCCAAACGGGTCTCAATGGTCTCTCCTAGGATGGATTTAACAGCAGTGGTGCCACACACTCTGCCCTGCAGTATGGAGCATGCACCACAGCAGGGAAGCAATGCAAAAGCTGACACATTTTAAAAAGCCTTCCTCCCTCTGCAAATCTGCCTGGGCTGTGGTGAAATATCAGAGGTGACTAAAAGCTGGCACAGAAGGCTTATAACACCTTTTTTTTAACCTAGCTTTGCCCTATCTACTGTTGACGCTTACAGAGTGCCCATCTATGTCAGTGGTCATGAAGTCTTGGATGGAGATTGCCAGGACCTGACATCCAGGCTGCTTTCTTCATCCCAAACACCAGCAGGTAACACTTGCCAAACAGGGCTTTCCTCAAACAGGAGCTCTCCCATCTGTGACAGCAGCAACAAAACACAGGAGAAGCACCATCTGTTCATCTAGATGGGTACCAGCAGTACCAATCCTCACCATAGCAGTTGTAGCCTTTAATAAATACATAGAACTCTTTTTCTAAATATTGGAAATATTTAGCCACAGAATAGCTATTTCAGCAGGATTTATTATTGTTTATGTTGCACCAACAGCCTGCCTTCTTAACGAGCATCCCAGGCTGGTACCACAGCTTGTACAACAGCATTAAGTGAGTCCTGTAACAAATCCTTAGCGCTCAGCTGCCCACTCCTTGCTCTGTGCCCAGGGCAAGTGGGAGTGTAAGATATGGTGAAGGTGTTCTTGCTACAGGCATCCCCACCAGTAGCCTGGAGAGGAAACAGCCCTCTCCAGAAGCTTTCCCCTATAGCTTTACAGGCTGGATCTCACAGGCACCTCACCTATCCTCAGCCCTGCATGTACAGCCTTCTCCAGCACCACCTTCTTTCCTTGACCCCAGCACTCCCATTGCAGGGAAGTTGGATCATTTTCTAGTTTTACAAGTGTCAGCAAATGCCATACGGGCTGTAGTTATTTTGGAGTAGAGAAAAATAAAGCCTCATCCTAAGATGCCAGGGATGCTGTCTGCATTCAGCCTCACCAGCCAGCCAGGAAACAGGACAGAGTCTGTCCTGTAGCCTTGTTGCTCTCTGGAGTTTCTGCTCACTGATTTTGGCCTCCCTGGAGTTGGCTGTATGACAAGCCCTGTTTTAATGTAACCTTTCCTGGCAAAAGCAATTTGCCCTGAATAGGACTGTGGGATTAATAACCTAGCCTTGCTTCCTGAGTCTTCTCTAGAAACCACACATCGAAAGTAGTCTCTGGTAGCACAGAGAAAAACAAGTATGTTGAGGGTGTCACCCCCAATCATTCCATAGTTTGGAGCAAGTGTGGAGCATTACCGAAAGGAAAGTTGGGTCCCAGCACCCAAAGCCAGGAGCCGTGAGACCAGCTGTGCCCTCAGAAACTGCTATTTTTCTTGCTTTGCTGACAGATGGTACCTCAGTAGCTCTTGAAATAAATAACATTTTGTTGCCTGAGCTACGAATGCTGGCGTGAGCTTTAAGATAAAAAGAAAATACCCACATATGGAGCTGTGCTATGAGTCTGCTTTTAAAGATGCTGGAAATTACTGGGGAAAAGGAGGGCTCCAAGTGTTACCTTTCCATCGACAGTAGCAGGGATTGCTGAATGAGGCTCTCTCATCTGACAGATGCTGAGCAGGGCTGGTTCCACAAGCACATGATGGCTGAGCAGGGCTGTATCCACCAGCCTGCTCACTAATGACAGACCCACCAGATCAGTGTGTGGGCACTGCCTCATTGCTGTTTTAGTCAATAAACCCCACTGGGTGAAACTACCAGCATGTTTATCACAAATAATATTTGACAGGATGAAATTAGCACATAGATGCTCTTATGTTGGTTAATGAGGTCTGAAATATCATCCTATAAATCATCAACAACAGCCATCCGGTGACAGACAGACGAAAAGAAGAGCAGATGGTTACAACGCATCCACACCACTGCAGTGACAGGGGTTTAAAATAGCAGCGTACCTTTACGCAGGGCAGCCCTGATCAGGAAATGATCAGGTGTGTTCCCTGGTTGCACAGCTGCCCTTTTAAGCAGACATCATGCTAGGCAGCTGGAGTGCAGTTCAGAGCTGCTGAAGCCATCGAACTTTCCACCACATCCAGGTGCAGCACGGCGGGTCCTTCAGTTGCACTGTTGGGTAAGAAAGGCCCGGTTATGTTGTCCCTTCAACAAAGAAAAAGCAAGTTGCATCTGAAATGGTACAATAGGTTAGATCTGGGTTTACAGAGTTCAACAGAAAGATAAGGCTCTGTGTGCTTTCCAACCCTGACTGGGCAAGCACCGAGGTTATCGTTCTATTAAGTGCACCACTTTGGCACCTGTGAAAATAAAGGAAAATCATGGCCAGTCTGAAATTGTTGAACATTGAGAAGAAATGAATGCTTTAATTTGCAGTATTTATCACCCAATAGAATCTCTTTTTCTCGTGATTTAGGAGGCAGTCAGGCTTCCTAAATGTACAACTATTCTTATCCAAGGTTTATGGTAAACACAGCAGGAGTGAGTAAATTATACAGCAATTTACATTTACTGTCCAGTATTTTTTATTTAGGAAGTAAATCTACTTGGAAGACCACCACAGGTAGCAGGAGAACAGGAGGTAAGAGCATATGGGAGGCATCACAACCCCACCCCACCCCACCTCCTGCGTACAGCTGAATCACAGTTGCAAGCACATCTCTGCACACAGTTCTCTTCATAGTTGGGCTTGTTTTACAGGCACACACATCTCCTGTTTTAGCACCCAATTTACAACATATTCAGTGTTGGGAACAAATTCCAGGATGCTACTTATTTATCAATTTTATTTATTTATGACCTCCAGTCACTACCTGGAGTCGTATCCAACTATTCTAGATGGCCCCCTCCAACCCGCCCCTCCTAGCAAGCATCACAATCTTTTCACAGAGGGTAAATAAGCCCCTCCTGACCTGTTTTCTCACTCAGACAAGCACTTTTCCACAGAAGCAGAATATTCTTCCCTGTAGGCTGGGTTCTGAGAAAGGGGTATATTGTAAACATTTAATATATGACTAAATGCTGTGTAAAAATTATATCCTTAAGTCTTTTCTCACTGCTGCTTGGCCTGTGCTTTAAATTATCCTACAATAGAGTTATAAAATATCCATACATATTTAAGCTTCTCCTAATTTGTAACCTACTACAATCTGCTGTATCACTGGGGTTTTTACTTCAGCTTTAACAGTGCTCATTTGGTTTTCCCACCTATGCAAATGCGCTACTAGCAGTTCACCTCGCCCCTGTCATTTCAGTGTCCAGTAGCATTCTACAACAGTGTAAGATTTGCTGTGGTGAGGGAGCTGGGGGTGTTTATCCTGGAGAAAAGGAGGCTCGGGGGGACCTTATCAATCTTTACAACTGCCCAAAAGGAGGTTGGAGTGATGGGGCTTGGTCTCTTCTCTCAAGCAACAAGCAATAGAGCAAGAGGAAATAGCCTCAAATTGTGTCATGGGAGGTTTAGACTGGATACTAGGAAGAAATTCTTCACAGAAAGGGTTATGGAACAGGCTGCTTAGGGAAGTGGTGGAGTTACCATCCCTGTAGGGGTTTAAAACCCATGTAGATGTGGCACTTGGAGACAGGGCTCAGTGGTGGACCAGTGCTGGGTTAATAGTTGAACTTCCCACCTAATTGAGTCTATGACTGTTGACAATAACAACAGCTATATTTATCTATTCCTTGTATTTCCCTCAGTACTTTGGTATTTTAAGTCATGTCAGCTTCAGGAACAAACCCTCTAGGCTGGATGCTGCAAGTATTTCCCTCAGAACCAAACAGGAAATGTAGCAGAATGTGTGCAAATTACTCATATTCACCAAGGAAATAACTGTGTCCTGAAAATTTGGGATGAAGAAATATCTCACCTAATAAACAACACTCATTTCTGCAAAAAAAGAATAGCCCACTGATGCATTGCATTATTTCAGTGTAAGATTATAGATGCTGTCCCCACATTATGGGAAAGAAATATCATTTCAGGTTTCCAAGAGCCAGCACATTACAGCAATGCCTGTGAATATTCCTCCTACTCAGTGAACTGGGAGTTAGCTCTGAAGGAAACCAAACATAACCAGGTGTGTAAAAGACTTTGTCTGTACTCTGACTATTTTTTGAAGCTCCCTTGCTTGGCACTAGTAGATAACAAGAAACTTAATTAATACCAGCAGTTACAGTAAACCCCAGAGACTTTGACCCTGCAGTTGATCTTAAGTATATAACTGCTTATCATACACCAACAAGCTGATCAGACTTCTCACATGAACTACCACAGAAGAACAAGAAACCCAAGAAGAAAATAAAAATGTGTGACACATGTAAAGCCACTGTTGAAGTGTAGAACTTCAGATAAGGGTAGAGCTGCAGAAGACTAGGTACATCAGTCTCAGCTGATGCAACTCTGTGTTTGGTAATCCCCTGGGAAAGAACTGGCGTGGGAAATGCTTGACAGAGAAAGCGTGTGTTCTGACGAGTTCATTTTGAGAAAACACGGCACTCAGGCTTTTGGGACATAGGTGGGAACTAACTTACAGTGCCAGGGGATGCTTGGACTCGTTATGGTAAATGAATTGTCAGCAGTGGCAGGAAACATCTTTGAAAAAACTGGGCGCTGGTTCCAAGTATGAGGCATAGAGCAGAGAATGTGATCTGGTCACATTTCTTTTACATCTAGATATCAAACTGCCTTCCAGCCCAGAAACAATAATAAATTTTGCTCAGTTGCTTGCTCTGTTGATACCACCTCATCACTTCCAACACATAAAGTGCAAGTGATGGCTTTGCTGCTGCAGTCACTATCCTTTACAGCACTAGTTATATGTTATATGCTGTAAGATTAACCTGCAAGCATTCACTGAGAGTCTCTTAATGCAAATAACCCACACCTTGCAGTCATTCCATGAAAAATATTACATTTGTAAAAAGATACAGGGCTTTAAAACATTATCACAGCTTGCAGTCGACAAATGCAATATTTTTTCTAAGTCAGTCTTGTCATATAAAGCAGACACTACATTCAAAGAGACAGCAGCCTGCCACTGTTAGTTTTAGAGGTAAAAAAATAGGAAAATTTTCCTTGATGTAACACTGGAAAGGAAGAGAATTCTGCTCAAATCACCGTTACTGTGCATGCAGTAAGGGTAATGAATGGCAGCTGCACTTCTCACCAAGGTGTACCCTCACTTACTAAACTGAGTGCTGCAGAGATCACCCAGCTGGCACAGAGAGGATCTTTGCTTGGCACATGGAATGTGGGAGAGTGCCCACTTCCCACTTCCCTGGGATTGGGAAGGCACAGCCTCAGTTCTCACACCTGGGATGCCACTGCTGCAACAGGCCTGTGATCCCCTACCTGTCCACTGGTGTTTGGGATGTGCTCTGACATCACTGGTTCTTGCAGAAGTCTAGGATTCAATTCTTCCATCTGGCCTTCACAGGGCTTTCCAAGGGCTCCATCCCCCAGGACTGACCACTGCTGTTTTGCAAAAGCCACATCTCTAAGTGTTTGATCACCTAACCCCAGACAAGCCTTAAGATCACAGCAATTCTCAAAGCTGCAATGACTGCATCTGCTAGTGGGAAAAAAGCAATTACTCCAAGCACACTAATGGCAGAATATTCAAGCTGAATATTTAAGGAGTTTAAGAAGCTTATCAGGGATCTCAGTTGTGTGACTTGTTTTCAAATTTCCTCTGTAAGTCATGTGTCAAAAAAACCCAGGCAAATAAACAATGAAAAAGATATTGAAAATATTATTTCAGTCAGCAGTAAAATGAAACAATGCAATGGAAGATTAATTTCCCCTCAGAGCATACTGAGTGATGACACAAATACTCATTTCAAAAGATGCAAAAGGCATTGTGCCCCAAAAGATGGAGCATGATTATGAGCATAATGGGTTGTTTAACTTGATAAAGTGCCAGTTTCTAAATAGAAACTGTGCTTTAAATATTTAATCACATTTTGAACAGTCTCCCATTTTTTCCTTGTCTAAAAACAGACAAGAAATTACATTTTTCTTTAAGCATCCAAAAATGTTGATACAGTAATTAAGCAGGAGGAGGAAGATTTAGTTAAATTTAAACCTATTTGGGTGCCTTATAGTCAAAGCAGAGAAGCTTCAGTGCAGATCCCAGCCCCTTGTTAAACACATACCACCCAATAATGGGATTTGCCTGTGCCTTTTGACTTTCCAAAGGCTTACACACCTACGAGTGAACACGTCAGAGCTTTTCCTTTGCACCTCCACGGATCCAGTGTCTCACACCAAACATCAGCGTGGTACCATTGCCACAGCCTGGCGTCCTCTCACTGCTCTTGCCCAGAGAAATGAAAGCCCTAGCCTGAGGCTGGCAACAGGACATGCCAAACAGGCTGCATCCCACTGTCTGTGCACTAACCCCACCAAGAGGGAACCCTCTACCCCCCATCACACCCTCTGCACTGCTGCCCTCTCCCATCTGCTTTAGTCTCCATCAGTATTTCACTCCCTTCTCATCTCCAGCCTCCAGGCAGCTCAGGACATCCTCTGGTTGTCTTTTCTTCTGCCCATGTGAACATGGAAAAATCTATGTATTTCCATCAGAAGATACTGTAAACACTGAAAAGAACTAGAAAGGAGATGCAAACATTCCTTTTGGAACCCAGGCCAAGACCATTGGCTACTACTTTGCCACCTTGAAAAGGACAAGGTAAAAGGACAATGGCAAGAATGTCTGAGGGGCCCCTCCAAGCCAGAGGGATCCCCAACCTGCCTCTAAAGGACCTGGGCGCCCAGACACTCTGGGAGCAATGAGCTGATGGCCCAGGAAAGGCTCCTGGTTGCTTTAGCTTTGAGCCCACCAGGGCTGGATCACCCAACCCTGACATGCCCATACTCACAATGTCACTCTGTTGTCCCCTGTCAGGCTCCAGCCAAGGACTAGGGTAGCCCAGCTCCAAATCCCAAGACGCTTTTTCTTATCCAGGTATTCCTCTATGCCCTTTCCAGTTGCCACCTCCCATGAGACAGAAAAGCTGCTGTCCTTTTTTTTTTTTTTTTTTATCCCAAGGCCACAGCATTGCACTTTGAAAGAAGGAAATGCCTTTGTGGCTGGATGTTTTACATCCCAATGACAGATTGCAGATCCCTGACTGCAGCAAGCCAG